AGACGTTTTTAGACCAAATGTTACAGATTTGAACAAATACGCACAAAAAACATCAAAATTAGCACAGAAACAGTACTATATAACATTTTAGACACATTCTAGACCGTTTATCAGCTAAAAAAAGTTAATTTTGGGGTAAGTTACTCTTTYAGATCAAATTTTTGTAAATCTGTCAGTAATTTAACCTTAAACGTTGTGTAGTTTGTTGTTTCAGGATGTTTGTTTAGGTTTTACAGAACCTGACCCAGTTCTTGTTGAGTTCTGTTGGTTCCCAGTTCTTATCACAGAAGATCTTAATGAGCAACTGAGCTGTTTTTAATTGGCTCATAATTTGGTCTTTTTTTTTTTTATTTGTTTAGACACCAGAATCATGGAGCTGGGCAGAAAGCTGGAGAAGCAGTTTACAGAGAGAGTGGTGAAGAAGCCAGCAGGGGGCGTCAGCGTCGTACCTGAGAGACAGGACCAGGTCCAGGAGCTCTCGGTGAGAAGTCTGGACCTCAAACAGCAACTTCGGTTTAAAGTGAATAAAAACGATTCAAGTGTTTCCGTTTGTGTCAGCAGGTCACAGATCTGGAGGACAGCAGCGACAGTGTMGCATCCTTGTCAGAGGACAAACAGGAAGTGTCCAAACCGACGTCTGGACCCCTGAGGAGGAGCCTGGACTCGCCCAGCACCAGTGTGTGGGGAACTTCCACAGGAAAGGGACACAGCATAGGTCAGCAAAAACTCACAAAGACCTGGTCAGAACTGCTTCGTTTATAAATCTGTACTAAACCCAATCTGTGCTGAACCCGGCAGGTCTGACCGAAGCTGGAACAGGAAGTACCCTGAAGAGCAGCCTGGTCTCCTTCAGCGACTCGGATGACTCGAGCAATAAACACAGATAGATGTAGCACAGACTGGAAGTCCTCAGCCAGAACCTCGGACCTCAACACCTAACAGCCATTTTATCTTAAACCACAAGAAGGAAAGCAATACTTCACACCAGATCCAGGAGAAAAATACTAACAAATAAAAACTATTTAAAAGTTAAACAATTTTCTTTATGCTTTGTGCCAAGTCTCCACCTGCCTTAGACTGTTTCTGTGGAACAGATTCTTGGGTATTTTTAAGTCTTAGATGCTGTTTTTTGTACTTTGTGTAAAGTTCTGTACATCAAATCTTTATTTTGTCAAATGAAATGTGACTGAAAATAAATCTTTGTGGGTCATGTCTGTGTTCAAACTGGTCCTCATGGAGATAATTAGATATTTATTTACAACAAAATAAACAAAAACAGAATTTCAGTGTGTTTACTGTTCCTGTCTGCCTGCTGGATGAAAGATGTTCAACAGTCGTGTGGAGCGACCCAGAGTCTGGTGAGCTAATAGTCTAACCAGCTGTGTTGCAGCATCTTTCTGCAGGACACTCGATGGTTCCCCAGTAGAACGAGTGCATACTGAGAGCCTTCTGTGTCAGAGATGTGTTGGTGGTCCAGGACGGGTCCTCTGGGATGTGAAACCCCAGGACTTAGGTGCTGCTCATCCTCTCAGAGACCATAATTTATTCAGGTTTTGCAACAATCATGTCAAGATTGTTAGCCTTACAACACTGTAGGGGTCTTCTTCTGACAGGTCTTAATCTGACAGACCTTCTGACAAGTCTTCTTTTGACAGGTCATCTTCTGACAGACCTTCTGTCTGGTCTTCGTTTGACAGGTCTTCTGATGGCCCTTCTTCTGACAGGTCTTAATCTAACAGGTCTTTTTTTGACAGGTCTTTAATGGATCTTCTGACAGGTTTTCTGATGGGTCTTTTTCTGGTAGGTCTTCTGACGGGTCTTTTAACAGGTCTTACGTGTCTTATTCTGATGGGTCTTCTCACAGGTTGTATTCTGACAGGTCTTATGACGAGTTGTCTTCCCATGGGTCTTTTTTCAACGAGTCATTTTTGGCGGGTCTTTTAACTGGTCTTCTGACATGTCTTTTTTGATGGGTCTCCTGACAGGTTTTCTAAGGTCTAATTCTGACAGGTCACTAACTGTTTCAAATTGAACGACTCTTTGAAATGACAGAATCCACAATATCAGTGTCACACTATGACATTTTAGACAACTTGTGCCAGCTAAATGAGTAATAAAAGTTATATTTGATCAGTTTGTTAGCATRAAAGTATGCACATGCCTAAAAGAAACTTTCAGTTGATTTTTCCATCTTCAATGTACAGGGGTRAGACAATGAAACTGAAACACCTGGTTTTAGACCACAACATCCTGTAAGGGTTTATCTTACACTTCTTATAACAAGGTTATAAGAGTAACTTAATCACATATTATGGTTCAAATCAACATTCACTGACTGGGATCTCTTTATTTTGAGTAAACATTCCCCCAGTGCAAAATGAATGGACACAAAAAGTAACTCTCAGTCAGTGAATGTTGATTTGAACCATAACATGTGATTAAGTTACTCTTATAACCTTGTTATAAGAAGTGTAAGATAAACCCTTACAG